AAGAGCAATAATAATAAAATAAAGAGGGTAGGAGGAAATTTTTGGAGGGGATGGATATGTTCATGGCATAGATTGCAGTGATGATTTCAGGGGTATATACTTATCTCCAAACTCATTAAGTTGTATACATTAGATATGTGCAGCTTTTTCTATGTCAGTAATATCACAATAAAATGGTTTAAAAAATAAATAAAAAAGGAAACAAGATAAGGAAGCAATAAAAAGCATTAGAAAATGACTGAAATGGAAGACTAACAGAGGAAGTAAATCTTATGTATACTTGATATCCCTAAAGAATGAAATCAAAATAATCTAACAGAACTAATCATTAAAACTACATCTTAAGGGCCGGCCCTGTGGCGCAGTGGTTAAGTTCACACGTTCTGCTTCTCGGAGGCCCGGGGTTCACAGGTTTGGATCCCGGATGCAGACATGGCACTGCTTGGCACGCCATGCTGTGGTAGGCGTCCCACATATAAAGTAGAGGAAGATGGGCACGATGTTAGCTCAGGGCCAGGTTTCCTCAGCAAAAAGAGGAGGACTGGCAGTAGGTAGCTCAGGGCTAATCTTCCTCAAGAAAACAAAAAAACAAACAAAAAAACCCCTACATTTTAAGAAAACCTTCAGGCAACAGAAGACCTGAACGTACCATAGAAAGATCTCACTGGTTAATGGCCAACATTGACCCGAATAATCAGCTATAATACATATCCTAGTAAAACTATTAAACTTTAAAGATAAAAAAAAAGTTCTATGAACAAAACGATGAAACGTTCAAAGGCAAAATAATTACACTGGTACTAGATTTCTCAAAAGCAATGTGCAAGGCAACAATGGAGAAGCAATTTCAAAAAACTTAAATAAACCAGTGCAAACTGGCTAAGGTCTTTGTCAAGTATCAAGGGAATAGGATAACCAGTACTGAAGGCTGCCAGAACTCAGGGAATACTGTAGACATGTGTCCTTCCTGAAGAATCTAGTAGAGCACGGATTAAAAAAGCTTTTTCTATGAAATGCTAGATGGTGACTATTTTAAGCTTTGAGGTCCGTTTACTTTCTGTCACAAGTATTCAACTCTGTAACGTTGCATAAAAACAGTCATAGACAATACATAAAGAAATCATTATGACTGATTAAACTCTGTTTACAAAAACAGGAAGCCAGCCAGATGTGGCCTGTGAGCCTTAGCTTGTCCTTCTTACTAAAGCATGAGTTTTACCCAACCACATAGTGACCGGAAACAACTTTTTCATAATGATGTTGAGTATTTCACATATTTACTTAGAAGGCTAAGACTAAAACAATGTTAAGGTCATGGATTGAGATATAGTATGCAAACACCATACGTTCTGACAAAATATAAAGAGTTCAAATTTTTTAAAAGAGAGAAGAAGAGGAAAGTTGAATAAGATCATAGATTCTTGAATAGGAAGTGGATGGGAGTCAATGCCATTTACAACTGAGACGTCAGATGTTAAGGTTAAATGAAGAAAGAGTAAATTAAGAGTACCAGAGATAGTATTAATACTAAAGTATTAATTCAAAAGTAACCACTAGGTATAAAAATACAAATTTCTTAATTAGTAGAATAAATTTAAAAAGCAGTAACTCAAAATAGAGAAATACCTGAATATAATACAGTATATACAAAACAAGATAATAAGACAGAACTAAGACCAAATATAATTTCGAATTGCCTCATAAAGCAAAACCCAATTCTATGCTCTATAGGAGATCCATTTAAAATGCAGTGATTCAAAAAGGCTAAAACTAAAGGGAAGACAAAAATTCACTGGGCAAATGGGAATAACTAAGAAAGCGAGAGTAGGAATCCTGCTATCTAACAAAGCAGACTCTAGCCAAAAAAGCACTGAATAAGCCAAAAAAGGACCCTTTTCCACATTAAAAGCCACATCCTACAATGAAAATATAGCAGAGATGAGTATCTATGACACAACAATGGTCTATATAAAGCAAAACTTAGAAGAAATAGTGAGGAAAATAGATAGAAATACAATAATAACAGAAGGCTTTAACACATTGTTCTCAGTATGAGTTAAGTCAAGTGGACAAAAGTAAGTAGACAGATCCAAACATACACTACACCCAGATATCAAAGAATATACCTTCTTCACAAGTGTACAGGGAGCTTCCAAAAAAATGACCAACCATTAAGCAGAAATATTATAAACAATATTTGTGATTACAATAAAATAAAACTGAAAATTAAAAACACTTACTCCCACTTCTACCTCCCACAAAAAAGAGCCTTCCATCTGGAAATGTAGAGATCTTCCATTAAACAACTCTTTGGTGAAGGGAGAAATGCAAACAGATATTATAGAATATTTGAAAATAGCAAGGAATGAAACACTACATATCAGAATTTATCAAAAGCCTTTAAACAGTGAATAGAGGAAAATTCATAGCCCTCACATCTGGATCAATAAAAATTAAACAATGACAAATAAATGTTAAAATGTCCAACTTAAGAACCTTAAAAATAAACAATGTAGTAAATCAAAAGTACATAAAAGGATACAATAATGGGAAATGAAGAAAATAAAGTGGAAAACAACCTGATCACATTAGTAAATCAAAATCCTAGTTCTTAAAAAAAATCAACAAAAAAGACAAACCACTCGCTATTTTAATTAGAAAACACAAACACCCAAAGCAAAAAATTACACAGGAAAATAACTATTAATAACACAAAAATTTAAAAGATGAGACTAATTTGCCAACCTCCATTCAGATAATTATTTATTATTATTACTTACATTGTAAATATATGTTTATACACTTTGTATAAATTTACTACAATTCACAATAACAGAAAAAACAATATTAGGTAAGAGCATTAATTAAGAGAAAAAGCAATACAGCAAAGATGCAACATTTTCTGAAAGAGTGGCCTAGTTTTATTGGCATTTACATTTAATTGTTGTTCCTGAAGTTTGAATGATACCAGGAGAACTGGCTCTATTTACTTCCTCAAGAAACTCACTTGACGCTGCACTAAGTTTGACCCCCACCCGTCATGGAACAGAAGTTGAACTAAGCTTGCCCTGGGGTCAATGTTTCTCAAAAGTATCACTCTTTCAGGTCCATTAGAACCAATGGGAGACTTCTCTATCACTTTGAAAATAAAATTCTTTAATAAGTTCTCTAGCTCTCTCTGAACTTTGGTTTCTCTTTTACATAATTTTTCTACTTTATGCCCATAATTCTGCATTTTCATCCTTTATTGAAGTCTTTTTTGCTTCTATTCCTCAGATTCAGCTGCCTCTTGGTTTTCTTCTGTTGATTCACAGTCATCATTGTCCTACTGGACTTTCAATCTCATGATCTTTCAGCTTATGTTCACTAACTGCTCTGTTCCCCATTTATTCCCTATTAAAGTTCCTGAAGATGAGAATCTGGCCTAGATATTCCTTATTCACCATTCACCACATTGTGCACGTTCACCACACATGCCGCTGGCTACACTGGGGAGACGAAATGTATACGTTAAAACCTGAACATCAGCTCTGATGAAACAGATTTTAGTACAAATCTCCACTCCACTCTGTAACTGCTGAGCACCTTGGAGGGGTTATTGAAACTACCTAAACCAAATTTCTTTATATGTAAAATGGGAAAAATAACATTTTGTTATAAGAATGTTGTGAGGATCAAATGAGATCCTAGACAAATTTTGCGTTTGTTGACTCTTGTTGTTGCCACTGCTGTTGTTGTTCTGACAGAGTAGCTAAGTTGGGTCGGATGCATGCCCCAGATGGAGTAAGAGTGTACAGCGTTAGGCTGGGTGTCATGACCTCCTAGGGTGCCTAGGAGTTGAGATTCTGAAGGAATAATGGCTATCAATGGGGGCCATTAGTCTTCTAGGGCTCTATAGTCAGCATGCTTAGTAGAGTTAATCATGAACAGCGTTAGTGAGAAAGCCTGTTTTATTATCTTCTACAAGCATTTTACTAATTTATTATTCTAGATATGTTGAGAATTGTACCACTACCAAACATATACATGTATGTGTGCATGCATGTATGTATGTGTGCATTTTAAGCTTCGGCTATACTTCTGCTCTGCCTCCATTTTACCTTCTTTATCTTTTCTTCTGGCTGAATGGCACAAAGCACAATAAAATATAATTTAAAAAATTGTTTGCCAAAATTATACACAAGCGATGTTTTTTCCAAAGTTACAAGAAAGATAACTTGGAATTTTACTGTGTAGGAAGAATCTTATCCTAAGAATATAGTTATTTATAAAATATAGTGAATACATCTTTTTAAATGGATATGTTTTAGAACACATTTATTAAATCCTGAAATGCTACTTAATAATCTTATCTTCTTTGGAATTTAAAAATCATCTTTATACAAGACAGAAAAAAATCTGGCTATTGTACGAGGTCCCTAAATGGCAAAAAGACAAATTTTCAACATAAAGAAGGATCCATTCCATCATTTACCTACTTATCTCATTTTTGACGCCTTCTATAGGAATAAATTGTGGTCCTATACCAAGCATCAAGGTGTAATTTATTGTCACCGGTGTGATCCAGGATCAGATAACTTATATGGCCTATTTAAATAATAGTGATGGGCTAATTACACAAATTTATTAATGACCATAAAATGGTAGTGTTTTCTAATTATTTCTCCAAGATTCAAAATTATTTTTGTAAATATCCCTCAGTATTTTAAGTTGATAAATCATTTGTAGCAATTAGCTCTGGTAAATACACTAAGTGTTTGAGAAAACTTAAAAAAGGAAAAATACCTTTCAATTACAATGAAGACTAGATTATTTTTTTAAAGCAATGTCTTTCTTTATAAATGTCAGATGATGAAAGAGAACATAAGCCTAAGACAAATAGCCATCGAATAAGTCTGAACTGTAAAATTCCATTTAATTGAAACAAATTCAGAATATGTTGAAAACTGTATCTATTTACAATATAAGAATTATGCATAAAATAGTTTAAATTTTGCTCTATAAAACCATTTCCAAATCTAAAAATAAATCTACGTAAAAATCTGTAGAACCTTATAAGGATAAACTAAATATGTTTCCAACTTATGGGCTGAAAAAATTGATACCTGTATTTAACTTCATTTTTCTTGTCTTTAAAATCATTTTTTTAAAATGTAGACCCATCTCAGTTGTCATTTTTTATTAGCATCTCACTTTTTTATTAGTAACAGCTAAACAGCTTGACTAATATATGCTCTGCAATGAAAGTTCATAACTATAAAAATATTCCATGAGTTTCACCAAGTCAAAATGTTTTCACACACATCCACTAAAATTGATCAGACTTGAAATCATATAATCTGAATTATTAAGGTCACAATCAGTAAAAATATTATCTTAAACTTGCATCAATAGTTATAATTTAAAAAATGCTTCCTCAAACAGTGTTTCTTAAACTTTCCCACAAGTATCTTTCATCTCCTCAAAGTAAATAATATATCCTTGTTGATTGGCAATATAGGCTAAGCAATTCCAACAAGCATAACTTTTTCCCAAACTTCATATTTTATTTCAATCTTTCTGCAATGTTTGCCTTCTACTATCAACTTTACCCATGTCCATTTTAACATAACTTTGGCATTTCACCTCTTTATAATCACTGGTTTGCATATACCTTCAAGTCCGTGACCTCTGTTTCATTCTTTGTTCTCACCTAGAAAATCTCAGCTCTGATTGAATCAACTCTCTTGCTCATCTGCAAAAAAAAAAAAAAAAAAAAAAGCTGAAGAAAAAAAGAAAGAAAGAGAAGAAGACTCATGACCACGCTGACCGGTCTTATTTTAAATTAACAACTCTAATCTCAGTTGGGCTATCTCTTCTGCAAACCATCCACTCACTTTTCCACTACCCTAAAGAATGATTTCACACCCTCTCTCCTCCTACTTCCAAAACATCACAGTACTTCAAGTGGCCAAGAGTCCTGCTGTACCCACACCACCTGAAGTTGGTGGCGGCACTGATTACAGTAGCCCCCTCCTTATCTGCAGTTCGCTTTCTGTGGTTTCAGTTACCTGCAGTCAACCAAAGTTCAAAAATATTAAATGGAACATTCCAGAAATAAACAATTCATAATGTTTTAAATTGAATGCCATTCTGAGTAGCATGATGAAATCTATTGTTGTCCCGCTCTTACTCCCTGGGGACATCAATCATCCCTTTGTCCAGTGTGTCTATACTGTATCTGCTAGCTGACACTTAATCACTTAGTAGCCTTCTCAGTTTTCAGTTTGACTACAGCAGTATAGTGCTTGTGTTCATCACCGTTATTTTACTTAATAATGGCCCCAAAGTGCAAGAGTAGTGAAGCTGGCAATCTAAATATGCCAAAGAGAAGTCATAAAGTGCTTCCTATAAGTGAAAGTTCTTGACTTAATAAGGAAATTAAAAAAAATCATATGCTGAGGTTGATAAGATCTGCATTAACTTTTATTACAGTACGTTGTTATAATTATTCTATTTTATTATTAGTTATTGTTGCTAATCTCTTACTGTGCCTAATTTGTGTATTAAAATTTATCATACGTATGTAGAGTAAAACACATAGTACATCCAGGGTTTGGTCTCTCCATCATTTCAGGCATCCACTGGAGGTCTTGAACTATTCCCTGCAGATAAGGAGGGACTACTCTTCTTGACTCCATTGTGCTCAATAAAGACCCTAATTTATATGGCAATGTGGTGCAAATTGATGTTCCTTTTCCAAGACACTTTACTAGCACATGCCAGAAAATTGTTGAAACAACTATACAGATCTAGGATGAGTGTAAAGTAAATGTACTTCTAGGAGTTGTGCAATGCACAATTTGCACAACCACAAGTAGCAGCTTGAACTATGCCAATCTGATGTGATCATTTTTTTAAGTGAGTCAAATGTGAAAAGAAAATGGAAGCATTGCTATAAGAAATATTCCCACAAATTCTAAGCCATGCAATGATGAAATAATTCAAACATCTCACCGGACAGAGCAGGAAAGAAGGGGAAGAAAGGAAGAAATAAAATTATTCTCGTTATCTTCTCTTAATTGAGGATTATAGTATTGTGGTGGGAAAAACCCCACATCTCAGAAGAGGAAATGACCGATACCACAGTTACAAATTGTAGTCTAGTACTATGTTTTCAGTGAAAAGCGTAAAGAAAGCAAAAGTAGTCATTAACAAAAAAAGAAATTGTAGCAGACCCTGTAAGTAAGTAAGAGAGAAAAAATGAAACTAATACTAATTTGATCAAACCACCAAAAACGGGGAATTGCCAAAAAAGGGATCAAGAATGCAAAATTAGTTTAAGAATGCAGAGGCTATCAAATTAGATTAAAAACTAAAACAATTATAAATACTGTTTATAATAAAGACACAAAAAATAAAGTGATAAATTTAAGATTTAATGACAGATTACTGCAAAAACGGCTCCAATTCTCTAAGCAAGCTATGAAGGTGATCTTTGCCACGTAACTTTGCAGCTCTTCCTATCAAGAGGTGAACATTATTATCTCACTCCTTGAATCCAGCTGTTCTTAAGATTTGCTTTGGCCACTTGATTTTGATAGAAGTGACAGTGTGTCAGTCTTGCATGTTTCTGACTTGTCTCTTGGAACCCTGCCACTGTCATGAAAAAGTCCAGGCTAGACTACTGGAGGGTGAGAGACCACATGGAAAAATGTCCAGTTGCCCCATCTGAGGCCATTCTAGACAAAACAATAGCCAACTAACTCCAAAATATTTAAGAAAGCCCATAACAGATCAGTAGAATCACCTTCTCAGGCTGCAGTTGACAGGAGACGCATGAGTGGCTCAGCCAATGTAGGAGAACCACTTAGCTGTCTCGTTATTTTAAGCCATGAAGTTTGGGGTGATTGGACAATAAGTTTTGGGGTAGTTTGTATCAATGGCTAATTGATACATATCAAAAATAAACAAAGGTAAAGATCTAGTACACAAATACAACATAAAAGAAGCAGGATTGGCAAGATTAATATTGGACAAGGTAAAGTTTAAGTTTGAAGATAGTAAATAGGATAAGAAATAATGTGATGATAAAAGGCACAATTTAAGAAAATCCAGCACTAGCGAAAACACAGATTTCAAAGACTACTTTTTCTAATGTTGTCAATAAAAGTAGAAGTAATTTTTGATTACATAAAAGCACCATCAACTATGAAATAAATAAACAACTCTAGGTAATGCTTAAGTCAGAGAGAAAATTAAAATAAAATTGTAAACCATTTATTAAGAAATGAAAAGGAGAATACTTTGCAACAAATCTAATGACTAAGAAAAATCAGTACTTGGAGAATAAAAGCATAATCTTAATAGCTATGACTATTAAAGAAGAACAAAAATTAATATATTCAATATCCTTCTTTTTAGTGAATTGGAGAAAAATTAAGCCAAGGAAATCAGAGAGAACAAATTAATACAATTATTAAATTAATGAAATAGAAAAATATGTTATTTATTCATAAGAATTTAATATTGACAAAGCTAATTCGATATATTAGGAAAGGTATGAAACAGTTAAAAATGGCATTGTCACAACAGGCTAAATAATAGATAATAATAATAAAATAATAAAAAATAATAATGAAATAAACAGATCATTCTTTTCAATACAGAAACAATTCCAATTGAATTAAAGACAAATAAAAAAAAGAACATCTTCCAAAAACAAAAAACTCTGAAAAGGTGCATGTGTAAAGGGTACGGTGTACCACTTAGTCAAGACTGAAAACATAGAATCTATAAAATACAGATATACCATAATATAAAGATTTTAAAAGTTTACATGATGAAAGATGCCAAAACTTCAATAGAAATAAAATGAGTCTAGAGGAATATTTGTAATTCAATTGATAAACAAAGAAGTTAATATCTTTATGATACTAAATGATCAGAAATAAAGAAAAATAATCCAAGGGGAGACAATGGGCAAAAGACATGAATAGCCATTTCGTATCAGAGTAAATCCAAATGGTAAACAGAAATATGAAAAGATGTTCAAATCCACTAGTAGTCATGGAAATGAAAATTAAATTAACAATGAGAAATCATTTTATTCTTATCAGGCTGGCAAAAACTTTGAAAAGAGCTTTAAGACTTACTGCTGGCTGGAGTGTGGGAAAGCGATTCTCTCATGCAGTGAGGGTGGGAAATGAATTGTTTAGTCTTTGGGGAAGCAGTCTTTCAATTTCCACAAAGTTAAAACTAGACACATCATTCAACCTAATCATTCCATTTCTGGGAATATATCCCAAAGCAAAAATCATGTAAGGATATATATTTGTTGTAAGAAATATATTTGTTGGAACATTGATTGTGGAGGAAAAAACTAGAAAGCAAATAACTAACTTTCAAGTGCTAAGTATCACATGGCACAGCCACATCATGCAGTCTTGTGGGGCTATAAAAAAAGAATGGATTAGAGCTATACAAGACACTAAGACATATTTCCATTAGGTAGTTTCGAAGGAGAAAAAAACCCCAAAATTTGAAATGGGTAAGTAAAATGATTCTAATTGGGTAAGTGAACCCTAATTTCAAAAATCATATTCTTATATTTGAGCATATAGGCTCATATACTATTATAGAATTCTGAAGAATATGTGTTAAAGAGAATATAAACTACCTGTAAAGACAGAGACGGAGGAGTAGGACAAGGAATGGGAAAGCCTAAGGCCCACCGAACTCCAGAGGCCTTCGTTCATATCCCAAGTGAATGGAAATAGCACCCTTGTAGTTAGAAATGGCACATTTTGCAAAGTTGTACACGAAAGCTCTAATATGCATTGACAGAAGTTCTGTGTATAGAAAGATTATCAACCTCATACCCATCTGGATTCAACAAGAAAAGTTGCCTAGGTCTTCCAATAATCTTCTGTGGTGTTATGAACTAAATGTTTATGCCTCCCCAAAATTTATATGTTGAGGCCATAACCCCCAATGTGATGGTATTTGGAGATGGGACCTTTGGAATGTAATTGGGGTTAGATGAGGTCATGAGGGATTAGTGCCCTTATAAGGAGAGATATCAGAGAGCTTGCTCATTCTCTCTCCGCCATGTGAGGGCACAGGAAGAAGGGGCCAATCTGCAAGCAAGGAAGAGAGCACTGACCATAACCTGACCATGCTGGCATCCTGATCTCAGACTTCTAGCCTCCAGAGCTGTGAGAAAATACATTTCTATTGTTTGATCCAACCAGTGTATGATATTTTGTTATAGCAGCTCAAGCAGACTAGTATACATGGGCTAGAGAAGGTCGAAGATGATAATAAACACATCATATTTTCTTTTAAATTCCTGCTTTAGAATATTACATTATTTGTCATAATGCTTCATGGGAAAATAAGTTCATAATTTTAATTAACACTTCCATCAAGGAGCTCATAAAGCATCCAGGAGGAGCAACATGCAGACACAAATTAACCGCAGTATAATGTGATGAATAATGAAGTTGTAAAAATTTCCTATTGAAGCAGAGAAGAAACAACAGTTTTGAGTGTGGTTTTAGAAAAGACTTCAAATAAAGCATACATTATTAATAGGCCTTAAAAGATTAATACATTTTCAAAAAAACAGAGAGAAGTAAGACATTGGAGAAAGAAGGGAATGTATAAATAAATGTGCATAGATTGGCAGTGTAAGTTTCACTTTGGGAAAAGATGTAGAGTTCTGAATGAACTAGAGTGTGGGAATGTGGATGAGAGTGGCCAAGAAGGAAGTTGTAATACGCACCATGAAAGACCTTTTTCTTGGTATGTGTTCTCCAGAAGCAAATCCTGAGACAAGGATTTGAATGCAAGCAGCTTACTCGGAAAGGGCACTGGTAGGAGAGTGGGGATGTGATTCAGGAAAGAGAATGCAGTCTCTGAATTTGCATTATTCATCTAGCTACTGCATGGAGTAACTGGGTGGCTGGAGCTTAATCTCACAGGGAAACTGTGGGAAATGGCATAAAACACTCATCTTAGAATTATCGTACCCAAAGTGTGGGGGAGATATGCAGTATTAATTCACCAGCTCCCAAGTGGCATTATTTGAGGGCTGTTCCTGAGACTGCTAATTCTCCATCTACCAACCTGCTGTGTGCACCAGTGAAGCTGCCTTCCATTGTACTGGGGGAAAAATTCTCAGTCACAGAGAAATCAATGTTTGCAGGCAGAGTACCCTGAAATGACTAAGGGCCGATGGATGGCAAAGGACTTAGAGCATCTGATATATCAGATGAATACTATGCTAAAGAATTGGAACCTTATTCTATAGGTTATAGAGAATGATATATCAGATGAATACTATGCTAAAGAATTGGAACCTTATTCTATAGGTTATAGAGAATGAGCAAGGGTTTTTTTAAATAAAGGAAATTGCATGATCACAGGTGACTTTTGTAAAGTAATTCTGACAACAACACAGAAGTTAAAATGAATTATGTGCAGTGTGAAACATGGTGGTGGAAGTTCAGGTGAAAGATGGTGTTGGCCTGAACTATGGCACCAGGAAAACGGAGAGGGATGGATGGCTATTAGTGACATCCCTTTAGTTAAACCTACAGTCATTCGATGCATGAACCCAGGGACACAAAATACTCCAAAGGTTTAGAAAGATGTGTTATTTGAGTGGTTAAATGGTGATAGTATTTAACTAGCTAGGGAATGTGAGAGAAAAGATGGTTAGGAGTAAAGATTTTAAGTATGGTTTGAGATGCATTTACTGACTTGGAAGTTCCTGTGCAATATTCTAGAAGAAATTTCCAGTAGACAATTAAGAAGTTGGAAATGGAGCTCAGAAAGTAAGTAGGAATCCAGAAAGAAGAAATATTTAAAGTCCTCGGGTTGTATGAGTGAGCATATACCTACCTCTCCAACTTGATGTACTTTGAATCAAAGATCTTCATTCAGCTTTCCAACAAATTAATACTGATGTAATAGAAAGAAAACAAGACCTGAAACAAAGAAGATCTGGATCTGAATCTATAAATTGTAACAATGTAGTGGAGGGAGCTTCAAAAGGAAGACACCAGACTTTGACAATAAAGGCCTGTGCTGGCAGGTTTCTTAGGGGAAATATACATGACTGTGTTTGTGTCACATTTTGGTAAAACCGGTCTTATGGTTACATAAATAAGAACATAAAATATCACCTTGGCAAATTTATATGAGGAGGAAAAAACAAATTCTAAGGGTCAGGTTTGATCTCATGACTGCCTAAATTATTTAAATCTCTAAATGTAAAATGCAAAAACAAAAAAAAATACCAAAGAATTTTTAAATTGCTGCTCCAAAATTTAGCAAATCTAGATGATCTAAAGCAAGATTCTCCCTTATGGCGTAGTGTACATGTGTTCTTGAGTGATATGGATTAGGTTTGTATGTTTCACTTCTCAAAAGGAAATTATCCTTAAGAAATGTAGAGACAGTTTGCAAGGATTCGACATAGATGGAGAGTCCTGTACATTACAAATGAAAGAGTTCAGAGCTTTTAAATTGCACCGTGTAAACTGAGGAGCCTGGTTAAATAACAGATCCATCCTTCTTCCTCTTTTCAAGTAAATTGAATACAAATAAAATGCTGACTTAGTAAAAATGTTGAAAAAGCATGTTTCCTGAAAAAATGAAATTTAATTATTATTACATGAAACTTACAGATAAAATATGACAGATAAAATGTTTTACATGAGTGAACAGGATGGTAATTTTGAGAGATAGTAATAAATATCCAGAAATTAAAAAAAATACGTAGCAATGCTATGATGGGTGACTTCCCATTGGAACCATTTGTCTATTTCTATTTGATATGTAATAAGATAGAAACAGAAGCAGCACAAGCTCATTTACAAGAGGTTGTCTTACAACCGTAGACAAAAAATTTACTGAGGAAATGTATGCATTAAAAATGTAAGTTCAAAATCCCTTTTTATATTAACCGGCATTCATCTCCTCTACGATTCAATCTGCTCAACAGACTTCAAGCACATTCTTACATGGCAACAACAAAGGACCGCAATTAAAAACATTTTAAATTTGACTTTGCAAACTGTTTAAAGCTTTTCCAGAGGAAATAATGTGTGTCTTTTACAACAGTCCATTCTTCATTCTCTCCTAAATTAGCTGCATAGTATGTGAGCAAATTTCCATGCTTAGTTAGAGCTCATTATTCAGTGAAGTCTCAGGGAATTTGGATTTTTTTTAATCAATTTTTTTCCCTTTGCCCTTTCAGCATCTTTCTAATTTAAACAGTCCCAAAGAACACCGATGTCATAGTACCCATTAATTCCTACTTGTTTTTGATGAAATGGCAAAGCAGTGCGGACTTTTCACATTGACCATCTATGTGTGCATGTATACGTTTTTAAACATATTTATTATTATAAAAAGATGCATAGTCTGGCAATTGTAAACTTGCAAATATAAGATTATGACTCAGAGAGGATCAAATGGAGGATAAATAGCCAACAAACTAGAAAAAAAAAAGGGCTGGATAAAATGAAGCCTTAAATTGCCAATCCGTTACTTAAATATTGTAAGGTTCTTTCTCTGGAACGATTATTTTCTAGATCTGATTTAAAGCTGTTGTAAGCATTGTTTGCAGCTGCTGCTTCAGTGCTGTTTGCAACCTCAATCTGTGTCCATGTCAAATCATAATGCAATACTGTTGAATTTGTAAATAGAAGCCTTTTCTCTTGCTCATTTTTGTGTTCAGGATCTCCAGATGCAATCCTGCCTATTAAGGAATTCATATGGAGCATATCTGTTTCATCTAAATCTTAGTATCTACATATCATTTTGTGTTTCTTACTTGTTTGCAAGGTGATTTGTAGCAGGTAAACAGCCAAAGTTAAAATAATTGTGTTTATGGCTCTTTTAACCAGATACAACTTGGATAAAGAGATTTTTTTTCTATCAGGAAAATAATATATATAAAGAGTGAGATCTAAAAAGCTGAAGAATCTAGCAAAATAGCATAGAACTGACCCAAAAAGGGAAAACCAAATTGTTCTAAACATATATCCATGAATAATCATCAGTATTAAGCACAATGAGAAAAAAATTCTTAGTTTAAGATTATGATTGGCTTAGAATAAAATCTGGGCTTTGGCATCTCCCAATTTACAGGATTTAATCTCTAGACACTTCAGTCATATCATTAAAGGGGCAATACTACCTAACTCATCAGATTAATTAAGGATTTGAAGTAATTATATGTGAAAAGTAAATGTTAGTGTGTTTAATACCTTTCTCTTACTACAGCCTTCAGCTGAGCATTCAAATTGGACATCCTATTATATTGATAAAATGCAAAAGACAGTGAAGTGAATAAACCATTTGAGGGTGCCATGCCATGTGAACGTGACATTTACTAGTGTCAGGTTACCAATTTAGATTTTCAAATCTGACCTCCAGGACATTTATTGACTTAAAAGAAACTGATTATTGAGGTATAAGGCAACCATATGACAAGACTAGGTACTTTAATATCTTTATCAGAATGGCAGAATCTAGCTTTAAGAGAATTATAGTGCATCTCTAATTCCATCACTTTAAAATCACAAGAAGTTAATGATGAGAAATAAAGGCGGTGAGGTTGAAAAGAGTGTAAAAATGTGTCTGGCCTCCGTGGCTCTCCATCTTGCCAAATACCATCTAGTCTCTCCCTCTGCTAATTCAAGAAAGAAACTGCCCATGGCCTGTCATTTTTTTCAATTGGGGTTTGTTCAGTTATATTTCTCCTCTGAATTTTGAGAAGCACTGTTCCTCAAATTACCTTTTCTTTTCTATCACTACATTATTAGCAAGCAATGGTTGCCTTAGCAACTCTTTAACACGCTGCAACTCTCAAAAAATATCATTTCTGGAGAGAGTCTTCAGACAGGCTTCCTAAAGGAACCAACAGCTCTTCGTAACATATATGCAAAATCATTATTTCTGATTAGAAAACAAATCATGTGGCTTAAATATTTAAAAGATTTTATTACATATTTAAGAATTAGCTACAGATATTTATCAAAAAACTAAGATAGTTTTGCAAAATTATAATAATTTTTCACGATAACTTCTACCATTTACTAAGTATTGTATGACCCCATTTATTTTTTTCCATAACTCTATGAGGTATGAAGCATCACTTTCTAAAGTTACCAGATGAGAGACTAAAGTTTATAGGGGTTAGTTCAGTAGCATGCTGGTAAATATTTAACAATCAAAATCCAGCTCTCTGAAAAAAAAATATACAATTTCCTTATAAATATTTCTGAATTAAAGTCTCTGCAGCACATAATTTAAGAAATAATAATTACCTTTGTTTTTAATATAAGATACTTGATTTTAAGTTGTGTCATTTAATCTTTAACAATGTTTAACAATTGGCTTACAAAGTTCCTGAAAATTAAACAATCAGCTTTTGCAATCTAGTACTAGTTTCCAGCTTACCACTAGGTTAGTTGCTTGGTCAAAGTCAGACTACTACTAAAGACTCATATTTAGGGGGCCAGCCTGGTGGTGCAGCAACTAAGTTCACACGCTGCACTTTGGCAGCCCAGGGTTAGATGGTTCAAATCCCGGCCATGGACCTATGCACAACTTATCAAGCCATGCTGTGGCAGGCGTCCCACCAGGGCTAAGTGTCCTCAAAAAAAAAAAAAAGACTCATATTTGGATGCAATAGAGTTTTTTAAGGAGGAGAGTCAGAGAAATATGGGTACAGAGCTGCCTCAGAAGTTCAAGGAGAGAATTCCCTGTTAAAGTATGGCCTACTCCAATTTAACTCAGACTTCTTTGGTGTATTTCTCTCCGCTTCATATCTTCCTGATAATTTACTGCTCAGAACCCAGGACATATTTTCACTGCAATCTTCTGGCAGAAATCTATCTTTAACTTGTTCACTGTCAACTCATGACCCAATTCTCGCTTCCATAGTAAGCCTGCAAGTTTGCCTCTTCAGCTTTGAGCCTGTCAACCACCTGCCCCTTGTCTGGCTCTCTGCTCAGTTGGACCTGTTCCCTGGCTTTGTCTGTGCCATTTCTACCACAGTTCCTTCCCTCAGTTACTGGCTTTCACAGATTCCTAAACAGAAAATGGGTGCTCTTTGGGGAAAGGAAGTTAGAACGTGGAACTCCTCAACCCCAAGGACTGACACTGAAAGCCTGGCCGCCCACTGAAGAAAAGCCTTACCAGTCAGGGCTTACTCCTGGCACCGCTGTGGAGGAAGTGAGACTTACTCTCGACACCTCTTTATTCCTTTTGCATTATTCTCCCTTTAAATATTCTCAGTTGAGCTATAGCCTCTTTCCCGTTGAATTTCCTCAGTCCCGACTACCGTTCCATGTGAATAGTGCACATGAACATATACCATGAAACTCTCTCCTCTCTCCATCATCTCAATTGATATCAATCAATTAGTTCTTTGCCCTCCACAGACTATTGCTTGTGCCTGCATTGTCACCAGTAGTAATCTTTTCAAGGGAAATTTATGCAGTGACTCTTATATGCCAGGCACTAAGAAATGTGCTAGCAATACAGGGATAAATATGACTGGAAAATACACCTTGACTTCGAGGCTACTTGCTGGAAATGCAAAGACCAGGGCCATAATTGCAGGAATGTAAGTGTCCAGTAGAGGAAATTGTTTCGAAAGGAGAATGAGTACATCTGAGTTTTGCTAATCCTCAATTCTTGCAGCATATGTACACACCTAGCCTACTTCTACATAGGAACCATCTTAACATCCGCTAAAATACAACAGAACCTTAATTCTACCATCCAGATTTTTTTTAAGGTGCTATGTTTTAGCCATTGTATTTCTCTCAATAATGCATTACTGATATTATTTCCAAGTGCTGAAAGCAGAGATGGAATAAGAGACCCTATCTAGATTGAAAATATCCCAAAGGGAATCATATTTGGATTCAACAAACATTTATGCAGCATTTACCATGTGACAGGTACT